AGTCTAGTCTATAGTCTAGTCTATAGTCTAGTCTATAGTCTAGTCTATAGTCTAGTCTATAGTCTAGTCTATAGTCTAGTCTAGTCTAGTCTATAGTCTAGTTTATAGTCTAGTCTATAGTCTAGTCTATAGTCTAGTCTATAGTCTGGTCTATGGTCTAGTCTATAGTCTGGTCTATAGTCTAGTCTATAGTCTGGTCTATAGTCTAGTCTATAGTCTGGTCTATAGTCTAGTCTACAATCTAGTCTAGCGGAGAATTAGTTTAGTACTTTAAGACCAAAAAGTACTATTTTTGTTATTAATTAGTATTATTAAATTTTCCACTTTACTAAACTTTCTCTATTGCTGGAATACATTTAATAAAAAATATTTTTCTCTTTTAATAAATATTTAAGATTTATGAAAAATGTCAAATTTGCCAATTTTCATTTAAGTCGGTCGCTAATAAATATATTTATATTATTCTTCTAAAAGTACATCGAGTATTATTGCAGGCCATTAAAATCTATTTTAATTCAAATTGATTACATCTACTGCTGTTCTATAACTATCAGCCGCCAGCAGCGATTGTGAATGTTTATGAACTAAATTGCATTTACAATAGACTGATTCAAATGTGTTAAAATTGAAAAAATCCAAAACTGATAAATCCTGTTATAACAAAATATTCCAAGATTTTGAGATTGTTTTTAAAATTCCGAATGTCGGGAGTTTTTGTAAAAACCTGTTTTTATGCAGAGTTGGTAAATGAAACGTTTTATGGTGCCGGTATTTAAGTTCTTATGCCCTTCAAATTTGTGAGAAGGATAAATATGATATCCCGACCCTAAAGAGTGTAAAATATTTCGATTTGGTGATGTCTGTATTTGCGGGATCTAAATTTTAAAATTTTTTTGTTTGTTTTGAATTTGTTTTTGTCACCACTTGTTTTGGGTTTTTTCTCTTAAAATACTTTTACTTGCAAATTCGGTATTTTAGTAAAAAATAAACATTTTCTTTAAAATAGAAATTGTAAAATAATTCTTTATTTTTCTAAAAAGGGTTTGAAAAAATACTTATTTTTATAATTCTAATTGTGTCGTATCTGTTTTTGTTTGTTTATTTTCATTTTGTATTCGCATTTCATTTGTATAGGTACTACAATAAGCCAAACCACCTTGACCCATAAGACCACTTTAAGGCTGTGTGTCTGCGTGTTGTACTATAAAAAAATACAAATACATAATGACGGATTAACTGTCGCAGTGACGTACTGACAGACATATTGGCTAACTACTAGCTGATTGTCTGAATATCAATGTATTTTGGCTAAATAATTCTACTGCTAAAACAACAACTACTACTACTGCGGCTGCCGTTCGCTGTAGGTTTTGTTTGTTTATTTATTTATTTATTTGTTTGTGAAGGTGTTTGTGCTTAAAACTTTATCTGTTTCTACTCGTTTGCTGATTTTTATTTAAAAATTTTTCATTTTATTTCTAGTTTTATACAACAATCTTTGTTTATTCGTAGTAGTTTTCTTTCAACAAAATACTTATTCATCGTAGACGCATAAGTAATTGAAATGTAAAAAAACAACACCTTGTCTGAATGACTATGCACTTACCTTCCTCCCTGCCTGCCGGCCTGCCTTCCACCATAGCCGTCTGTCTGTCTGTGTCACTACGTAACTAGGTTCTCACTTGCATTTTTAATGATTATAACTATTGTGTGACCAAAATAAGTTTTATTTTTCTTCATTTTCAGACACCACTAAAAATCGATATGACTTTAAACATGAGCACGTTGCTGTAAACTTGTTGTTTTATAAACTTTTTTTCTTTTCAAAGTGGCAACAAAAATGGTGCCAAAAAATTAATATTTTTATGGCCATCAACTTTTGGTAATACAAATAGGCATTACTATATTTATGTAACTACAAATACATATATTAGTTAAGTCGTTATTATATAATTGTTCTTGTGGTCTTAAACATTTATAAGTCGTATTAGTACTAATTGTGGTTTTTAAAGATCACATAATATTGTGGAAATCAATATAAGAACATTTGGTAGGCTATGCATTTTAAATATAATTTCTTATCCTTATTGAACATTGTTTATATATTCATAAAGTTATTGATAGTTCATAAAGAGAATTTTGTTTGGAGAAACTCATTTAATAAACCAATGATAACTTATGCCTTTTTAACATAAATATGTCAAAACGGATTAAATCAATATCTTATTTTGTAAAACAAAATCTTACAATTTAAAATTCTAATTTTCATCTTTGATCCTTTAAGTATATTTTTACTACAATAGAATATATTAGACAATAGCTTTTTACTGATACCTGAACAAAATTCAATTCAATTTTCGTTACAAATACAATCGAAACAATAAGATGAAAATAATTTTTCGGAAAATAAAAGTGTCACATATTTTACACCTAATTTTTGTTTAACAAAAATACTATAAAAATTAAACGATTTACTGCTTAAACAAAAACTATTCAAATGTTAATTTAATTGTAACAATAGAATTTGTTAAAGAATTAAGTGTTTTACAAAAACTTTCTACGTGTTTTTATAAGCTAACAAAAACAAAATCATTTGTTTTCAATATTTCAATTTTCAATGAGTTTATTCTAATCTGATTTTTTTGTTTATCTGATGTGACACTTGATCTATATTTTGTTATTCATCATAATGACAATTAAGCTAAATGTGAAAACCTTGTTTGAAGTTATTGTAATTTTTGCTTTAATAAACTAAAAATATAAAATGTATTGCGAAAGGAAATTAGGCTGCCGCAAAAAAATTGTCATCTTTAATTATTAAGTTTCCAATAAAACAATTGAAATTAGAGAATATGTCCAATCCGCGTTACAGGAGTGAAGTCTTTAAATTCTTTATCCTGCAACATTGAAGAATTTTCGTAAATTTAGCTTTTCCAGTACCAATTTTCTATTATATATACATGTGGATAGATAGATAGATAGATAGATAGATAGATAGATAGATAGATAGATAGATAGATGGATAGATAGATAGATAGATAGATAGATAGATAGATAGATAGATAGATAGATAGATAGATAGATAGATAGATAGATAGATAGATAGATAGATAGATAGATAGATAGATAGATAGATAGATAGATAGATAGATAGATAGATAGATAGATAGATAGATAGATAGATAGAAGATAGATAGATAGATAGATAGATAGATAGATAGATAGATAGATAGATAGATAGATAGATAGATAGATAGATAGATAGATAGATAGATAGATAGATAGATAGATAGATAGATAGATAGATAGATAGATAGATAGATAGATAGATAGATAGATAGATAGATAGATAGATAGATAGATAGATAGCTCTCTCGTCGCTCGTCGCTCGCTCGCTCTCGCTCTCTCGCTCGCTCGCTCGCTCGCTAGCTCCTCGCTCGCTCGCTCGCTCGCTCGCTCGCTCGCTCGCTCTCGCTCCTCGCTGCTCGCTCGCTCGCTCGCTCGCTCGCTCTCTCGCTCGCTCGCTCGCTCGCTCGCTCGCTCGCTCGCTCGCTCGCTCGCTCGCTCGCTCTCTCGTCGCTCGCTCGCTCGCTCTCTCTCTCGCTCGCTCGCTCGCTCGCTCGCTCGCCGCTCGCTCGCTCGCTCGCTCGCTCGCTCGCGCCCTCGTGTCCCTCTGCTCTTGTGTTTCCCCGCTCCCCTTCTCCCCTTTCCGCTTTGTTGCCGTTCTCGTTCTCCGCGCGTTCCCTCCCCGGCCCTGCCCCTCCCTTCTTTCTTGTTCCCTCGGGCCCTCTGTCCCTATCCTCTCTTCTCCTTTCTCCCCTGCTCCCCCCTTTCGTTCCCCCCTTGTTTCTCTCTTTGTCCCCTCTCTTTAATATTATGTCTATCAAATTAACGTCACGTGATGAATAATAATAAATCGTTTAAATAAAATGTGCATAAATTTTGATATTATCATCCGTTTGTCTAACTGTTTGAACTGTTTCATAAACCACGGACTAATAATATTTATAGTATTTGTCATTGTAGTAAAATAACAACAACAGCAAAAAAAAAACTTTATTGTAATCATTTTGTTGTCTCACACAATTTTAATAAATCCACATTCATTAAAATGCAGTTTATTAGCTTTTAATAAAGTGTAAATTTCTGAAATGTTAATTAATAGTGTGTTTGGGTTTATGTTATTTTATTTTCATACCTTTTAAACGAAGATTTATTATAATTTTTTCACACCCACTTATTGAAATTAATATTTCATTTTACACATAAACATTTGCTATATTACGAAGGGGCAATATTGTTTTTCTTCTTTTCATATTTTTATCATAATATGATAATGTTTGTTGTAGTTTTTATTATTTATTTTAATTTTTGGTTAAATCTATTTTTAAACCTTATAAAAATTATTTTGAAAAATGTTATAAATAGTTGTGCAAATATCTTTATCGTTATTGTTCTTGAAAATACTTATTTTTTGAACAAGTAATTCCATGAATTCTAAAAATAGCTCGTAAAATATATTTTTAGTGAATTGCTTAAAAATCTACCTATTAATCATATAAAAATATTGTCATTTACATTAAAAATGAATTACTTGAAAAAACAATATAAAGAGAAATGTACAAAATAATTAATATCATTAGTTAATTAACAAAAACAAATTGTTAGAAAATTAACTTTCGAAATGATTTATTTGCTAACTGAGTGGATAAAATGAAACGAATTTTCTTTGATTAAATCTAGAAAAATATGTTTAAAAACTAAGTGATTTTTATAAATATTTTTAAAAGAATTTCACCGTTCGTGAACTGCACAACTAGACCTCTACGTTGCCACAACAATAAAATCACATTTCAGAACAAATCGATTCTCAATTGGCCAAACTTTTGCAAATTAGCGAAAGTGGACCTTATTTCAAAAATGTATTTTAAAATATTTTTGTTTTTCTTACATATTTCTGAAACTTAATTGTTGTAAATTTTAATATTACTTTTTTTCAGAAATCAGCCATTACAACACACATCAATCGAAATGTCAAACGAACAAAAGCAACGTATTCAAGTGCCCGATGCACTAAGAGAGGTGCTATTGGAATTCTCCATTGCCTATCTGCTGGAACAGCCAGGTGATGTTGTTGACTTTGCCGTCGAATACTTTACAAAACTTCAAGAGAATCGCCGACAAGTGGGATTCATTCGTGAAACGGATCGTGGTTCCGTCGACGATAGCGTCATGTCTCAAGAAGAAGATGATGGTAAGTACAATAAAAATTACACTGCAATCAATCCATTAAAGTTTTCCTTTTACACCAAATAGGTAAAAATTTTACTCTCTTTGTATAATTCTTCTTTTGTAATTCAATCACGACAACCTCCACAATATTTTCTATGTAATTTAAAGAAAAGATTGACGTCATACTGTATAATAGTTTGATATTGTCGTTACAAACATGCATAAATTTCATGTTAATGTCGGTAGGGGATGAAGGGAAAAAGAATAATAGAATAAAAGAAATAAAAAGCAATACGCACGTTTTAGAAGTGAAGAAAAGCAAAGTAAAAAATGTTGTGCCGCTTGTTGTACGACAATTATTGTGTGGCATGCAACAATGTGGCGCTTTGTCAGTCATTGTTGTCATACATATTTAGTATACATGTTAGTTTGTTTGTGTTCGTAGTGTAAATATATATGCAATATGCCTGATTACACCATTTTCACGTGTATTTTGAAACTTTCTTATTATATCAAAAAGTTTAAAAAAGCTTCTAAGCTTCTTTTTTGAACCTGATTTATCTTTTAAAGCTTTAAGTCCGAAAATTCCTTTTAAATGAATCAATTTAATTTAAACTTAATCTGTTGCTTGTTGAATTTATAAGTTTTGAATTAAAATAAGTTTTTTTTTTTATATATATACATATATACATTGAATATAAAAATCATAGAATTAAGCTTTTAAGTTAATATCCAAAGAATAAAATTAATGAATGCTACATTCGATAAGTCTCAATCAATTGGAAATGGTGTTACTATATACCTATACTTAAAGGCGACTTCATTATGTAATTTTATATAATTTATAAATAATATAAAACAATTTATTTTTAGATATTTTATTCATATAGATTGGGACCATTTTGTTAATTGAAATTAGCAAACTGATCCTTTTTAATATATAAAATATTTACAAAATAAAGGTTTAAGTCTGCCGGGTCTATAAATGATCAAATGTATCCTTGGCTTTTCTTTGGAATGATTTGATATGGGGTCGAACCAGAGAACCATATAATCTGTAACCACGGGAACCGTTAACCCACAGGGCAGAGTTTAGGACTTTCTCTTGTCCTGGTTATTGGAGAGGTCTATTTGGGGAGCACGTGGTGGCTGTGGCTTAAACCCAAATTCGTGGGAAGAGAATTTCGGTTAAAAGATGGTTAAAAGTCTATGATTCTGTATAAGTTCAGTGCTGTTGCGAAGACAACAGATACCCCGCAGATTGCGGGGCTAAGCGTTGGAAATGAGTTGGTGTTAAGTGTATATGATGGAGTATGCGGACCTTACCCACCCGTATACCTAGGGTGTTGGATGAATGAGAAGAGTGTTGGGTTGAATAGTGATCGATGAAAAGTATCTTATAAAAATGATATCATAGAATTTTTCCTTCCTTGTCCGGTAATGTTCAGGGTTTTCTCTTTTTATACCAAATTTACCACAGTGTGTTCACTGTAAGTACTGTTTTCGTGTTTCGGTCTACAGAATACGTCACTAGGTGCTGTTGGTGACTCAAAAGTGGCCATCCCATCCGCATAAACGGAAATGATGCCCTTCACGTAAATCACTTCGACATCTATACGAGATTAATCCACGGTTACCGCAAGGCTCCGTTCTTTCCCCAGCCCTGCTTTTTATTTTCATAAATGACCATCTATTTTCAAACATCCAACTCTATCTAGTCTTTTGCTACTCGACCGCATATGGGAGAGGGCGAAGTAGGGTATCTAACTCTATTGATTTACTTGAGCACCGCCGCGTTGTTCGTTTATGGAACAAACTTCTTACAAAAGTGTTGTATGCAATTTCGTATATCCTCCCTCCCATAACCTATTTTTCCATTATCACTTCAAAAATTTAAAAAAAATCGATTTTTTGTATAAACAACTTCAACAATTTATATTAAATAAGGTTTTATTTTCAAACTAAATGTTTTAATAATTCTGATATTCTATTTATATGTAATCAAATTTTCAATATTAATAAGGTCTAAAAAAATATAGCAAATTAAAAATAAAATATGTCTTCAAGATTTATAAATAGAAAGCAATTATATAATAGAAAATCAAGCAAGCGTACATACAAATGTACATAATTATAGCAAAACATGTTTACAGTAATCACTCGATTTACGTTATAATAAAATCTAGAAAATGTCAAATGTAAATCAATTAGAAAGGAATACAAATTTTGTCAACGTAAATTGAAAAGCCAAAAATGATTAGAAGTAATTAATGCTGTAAAACAAGGGATTACTGTATAAGGCTTTTCAAAATTATTTAATAACAGTCTAGTTATTGGAATGGGATGTTAGCAGCAATATTATGGCATAAATTATCAGCTTCTAAAGCCTTCACACAGTTTAATACAAACATATGTATGTAAATATGTATAAAAAAATCATTAATTGTATTCATATTGCCACTTAAGTTGAATAATGTTACTAGGTGAATCCTTTTTTTTATTTCAACCACCCATCACATAACACTTACATACAATTACTTACTCTTCTACGTGTGTTAATATTGGTATTAGTCCTGTGTGATATTTTTGTTGTTGTGTTGTGGGTTTTTTTCAATAATACTCTCTCATTTAAAATACAAAACCCGTTTCAATTTTATCACATGTTCAACATCAATGAACAAAGACAAAATAGACACGCGCCAATATAAACAATATTCCGTTATTTTTATTTTTGTATATATGAGTTGCACACAAATAGACTTACATATTAAAAAAAAATATGTATGTAATATGAAAAACTTACACTTTTCTATTTTCATACTTACAGATAAAAGTATTAGGTTGGTACTTTTTACATTGGAAAAAAGGCAATTGATATAACGTACTTTTATCATCCATCCCTGACTATCATTAACTTTTTTGTTTTAATTTTCATAATATATTCATAAGTTGTTTCGGAATTTCGCTTTAATAACAAAACAATAACAACATACAGTTTCATATTGTTCATGTCTGAAAGAATTATTCGAGATATGGATCCTGAATACGATATAAAGATTATTTAGGGCATCCTAATGTATACATACATAGATAGGTATACTAATAGATAAATAGATGTATGTATGTATAATGATTTGCATGTAAAATCAATAAAAAATAACATCTAAAGGGGTTAAAAGGAATACAACAACTACATACTAACGGATGTTAAACAAACGAGGATACACACTTCAACATGCAAACACACAAAACTTAAATTAATTTTAACATGTTTTTATAATGTCGCTTATTTACTATAAGAATAGCATAACTCAAAATTCTGGGATTTTTAATGAGTACAACAAAATGTGATTGTATTATTCAAAAGGGGAATTAATCATCTTGGAACATTTTAAAATAACTCATGTTACAGATAAGTCTTTAATCCTAAGTACCAACCCCAACTACAGGGCTCTAATTATAGTTGTGTATATAAAAGGATACAGATATACAGATGTATGTATGTATGTATTTATTAACATCATGTTGAGTGTACAAGTGAATTGAAAAAGATGAAGAAGAATATTGTTTGATAAAATATCAGCAACAGAAATCGCAAAACATCAACAACATTTACAAGACCCATAAGTAAACAAACACTTCTTGCTCTATACATTAAATTGTTGCTATATGTAGTTGTTGTTATAGTGACAACAACAGAATCAGAGCGAAAACAAAAACAAAGTACTCGTGTTGTTGTTCTTGTATTATTAAAAACAACAAAAGAAATTCTCTTGTAGTTTGATTTGCTACTGTTTTGTTAAATGTGTTGTTATCGAACAGTTCCGTTTGTTTGACTAACAGTCAGTCAGACAGACAGACAAGTCTTTTCTTATTATTATTGTTGTAATAATACTAAAGGATATTTACAATAACAAATACCACCATAAACATGAACAAGCATACAAACTAAATACATACATATATGTACATATATGTATATACATCCATTTGTATATATTTACAATAACATTAAGCTTGATATTGTTTACAAAATACTCAATAAGAAAAGAGGACAATTAGTAGTATTTCCTGTTTGTTGGGTGGTGGGTGTGATTTCTTCTCTTCTTCTGTTAAACTTAATTCATCAATGGTTACATGCATACATACATACATATTTATAATAAACATGATGTTTAATAAGATAAAAACCACTCAATCAATCTTTTTGTTCGTTCGCTTGTATTCCGCTTGTGTTGTTAGTGATTTCACCTAAATGAGTGAGTGATAGCTAAAGAATGTAAGTGTGTTAACATGATTTTATTTTCGCGTAAGTGTATGCGTATATGTGTGTGTATATGTATTATTCATATCCTTTTTTTGTATATTTATCGAAGTGTAGCTGATTTAAAAATATAAAAAAAATCGTCCTGATTAAAGTGTTTTTTAAAAATGTTGAACATTTCCTTTCAGTCGATCAAGCAGAAAATAACAGACAGATTTTGTTGCTTTTTTTTTGTTTGTTTAAATTTCCGCTTTTTTTTATAATGTCTCTATTTTAATGATTTAAACGAAATAGATAAAAGAAAAGCTTAAGGTCTTTATTTATTAACACACACTTTATAATTGAATTAAATTTTAGGATTTTAGGAGAAAAAAAGGACATTTTTATTAAAGGGAATATGTTGATACATATTTGGGGATAAAAGTAATGGTCTCGTGTTTGATAGTATAGATAATTAAGAAAAATTATAATGAAAAAAGGTAAAGTAATATTTGGCCAAATGTTTATAAGACATTTTTGCTTCCAAAATAGGCTTCTAGTGTAGTTATGATCAATTAGCTGGGCTAATAGTTATTTTTGTCCTAAGAAACTATTTTAAGACATGGCTTGAGTAATACGCCAATGACATTCCACGCTTAGAAAAATAAAATTATGAAAAAGTATAAACTTTTTCCAAAAACCTACATTTTTGGAAAGAAAAGCTTTGGGCTAGTGTATTGATTGGCATTTTAACTAGTCAATTGATTAGTCCATGAGAG